TAACGCTTTAGCCTAGTTTGAAAATTCCGTCCAAACTATTGTACAGTGAAAGCGTGGTTCAAAAAACGAATTAAACGAGATGCACAGTGAAAGCGAGGTTTGGAACCACGCTTTCTTCAGAAAATTTTTTTATGTTAAAAGCGTGATTTGCAACCACACTTTCTTAATTAAAAGTGTGGTTTGCAATAGTGCTTTCACTATTCACCACATTTTGGGCTCCAAACAGTGAAAGCGCGATTTGTAATAGCGATTTAGCCTAGTTTGGGAATTCCGTCCAAACTAGGCCTAGTTTGGGAATTAAGATACAAAATAGACTTAATATGGGAAAAGCTCGGGGAATAAGAGGACCGTATTCGTACCGAGGCCATGAATGAAGTATGAAAGATCGCAGTAGGTTTGGCACAACCAGAGATGGAAGACAGAAACAGGAATTGCAATTATCCTATTTTAAAGATAAAAAGCGTCAATTTGATAAAATATAAATTAATTTGATAAAAATAAATGTTACAATTTTATTTTTGAAATTTTTTAAAAATTATCTTTACCTAGCAAAGATAAAATTATATAAAAATAGTAAATCTTTTACATTTTTAACTTTATTATTTTTGTAACAAATTAATTTTTAGTATGTGTTTAGATGATAATCATGTAATGGCTGATTATTTTTGTTAATATTTTTGGATGGTTATCGTGTAATAGAGGGTTTTATTTGTTGTTAATAGATACTCTCTTTTTTTCTTTTTTTTTTAATGATTATCATGTAATGGATGGTTATTTAGTTTTTAATTTGTATTTGATATATTTAATATATGAAATATTTTTATTTTTTGGTTTTTTTTAATTAATAGATTGGTTTAATAATGACATCAAAGTTGTCGTCATATTTGATTTTTGAAAAAATAGAAACTAATTTTAAAAAAATAAATATATAAAAAAAGTAATACTTATACCCTTCCAAAAGATAAAATTAGTATATAAAAATGATATGTTTTTAATCTTTTCCCCAATTTAATTTTTAGTTTCTTAGAAATTTTTTCTAAAAATAGATTCTGAAAACCAAACTAAACAAAACTTTATAATCAAGAAAGTTCCAACATTAGTCATTAAAAAAAAGGTCATTACATTTCAAATAATATACAAGTTTAACTAACACAAAATAAGTTGTATGACGACTTTACCTTGAAATCGACCGTTTGCAAATGAAACCTTTTTTTAATCTTTATATGGAACAACATTCAAAATTTAGGATTAAATGTATCACAATTAAAAAGTCATGGATCAAAATGACACAAGTCTCAAACTATAAGGACTATTAGTGTAATTTGCCTAGTTATAAATTAATTGTGAATGAAGGATCGTCAAATGTTTGAGTGGTTTGGGACAGTTTTCATTTGTTAGTTGATTGAAAAATATTCTTAAATAATTATTAAATATTTGCATAATATATAACACGAATTTGTATAATATTATTCATATGGAAAATTTTAATATATATCCCTTTAAAAATGGTATACCATCTGCACCCCTAATTATGCTATTTTCTTCTTTAGTCATAACCAATTTTCTTCTTTAGTTATGATATTATTTTAGTTATAACTCTCATGAATTCTTAAATTATGACTCATGTTGTGTTTAGTCATGATATTTTATTATTATTATTTTTAGTTATGACAAAAAAAAATTGAAATTATACCATTTTTAAAAAAAATTATAAAGTGCACATAGTGCACACCCTTTGAAGGGTGTGCATATAACACAAACTAATTTTACATAATATTTTTCATATATATAACTACTAATTAATAACAAATTTCATATTTTAAATCTCTTACACTCATTTTTTACTTTTATTTTATTAGAGATTAAAAAAAATATATGTATTAATTATAGTGGAGAGGAGCAGTTTCAAAGGCGGATTATAAATTTCAAAGATTAATTTGCAGTTGGCGGATAGATTGGTGTAGATGGGTGCAGATCAGTGCTATTTTAGTGAATTTGATGGTATTTTGCACAACCCTATCTCCTGCTATCTTACACCTGTTCTGCATTTTTTTTGGGGGGGGGGGCGCTAAATTACACTTCACCTCCTCTGAAAAACTACAATTAATCTCACATTTCTAAATAAAATTACATTGACTTTTCTTTTAGTATGTATGACAAAAACCACTAAAACTAATCCTGATGGTGACACTGAAATAAGAGTAGTGCTATTCTACCCAAACAATTAGATTCACTTTTCAAGTTCAATGGTCAACCAATCAATCACTCTCATGTATTATTTATTTCTTTTATATTTTCTCTAATTATCGACCAATTATTCTACTTACACATCACTAATTCTTGAAAGTGTGTCTAAAAGTAGGCTTGTATATAATTTTTCTTAAAAGAAATAGATAAATATATATTTTGGTTGAAAATAGGAGCCAAAATTACTTTTTTTTATTCATATGATTAACGAATATTTATGAAAAAAAGACCTACCTATTATGTGAATTATTAAAACAGAAAATTTGGCCAAAACCCCTTCATTGGGCCTTTTCTTTTCATAAACCCACTCACTTAGAGGGGAATTCTTGATGGAAGACACATAAATATATTTCTATTTTTTTTTGGTTGACAAACTTGCGCTTCCATATATATCGTTGCTTGTTGCCTCTTTTGTGATCAGTGTCGTTGCTTGTTGCTTCAGCTATGCTTTGGAATTGAGCTACCCACTCAGACCAACCCTTCCCGAGAAGAGCCAAAAGCGAAAGAGTTTTCGTAAGGAAGAAGAAAATTAATGATTTGTGAAACAAGCAAATTTGTGAGTGTGATTGTCGTTATTTTCCTTTATCAATTGTTTTCCAATTTGTAGTAGTGAGAGATTTATCGAATTGCAAAGCAAGAGAATCTTGTCAAATTGCAAATCTTCATTCAATTCAATTTTATCTGAGTTGTTTGTTGATTGTTGTTAATTTGTTTGTGAATTCATAGTGAATGAACTTGTAGAGCTTCCTTTTATTCATACTCAGTTTTTTGTTACTGATGCACTACTCAAGAAAATAGTAAAGTGTTACTCTAGTAGTCAGTAATATGTTATTATAACCAAAGTAACATTTTATTTTTAAACAGAGTAAAATTTTATTATTTACGTCAATTTCGATGGTAATTTTTTTTAAATGATTTTATAGTCAATTTGGATCTTGTTTGATAAATCTTTATGAGAGGATTCTAAAAATATTAATTTTATTAAAAATCGATATTTAGATCAAAAGTTATATCATTTTAAAATTTAAAATATTAAATTACTCGCTAAGAATATTTTGGTAATAGGGGTATGTACTGAACTTTTCAAAGAAATTTTTTGTGTTTGTCCGTAATGTATTAAAATTTTATTATGAGGGGGCTTTGGCCAAATTCCTCAATTAAAACCTCAAGAAAACTTAGTGGGTATTTGGGAAGTGAGTTTTTATGTAGGTTTTTTTAGTTATAGAACATTATTGGAGAATCTTTTTTTGTGTTTGGGAAGATAGTTGGGTTTTTTGTAGTTGGATGTGATGTTTGTGAGAGAAAAAGTGAAATGATTATGGGGTTAGATGTGATATTTTGTTTGGATGTATTTTTTTTGGTTTTGCAAAAAGTTTGTCTTTTTGTGAATAAAATCAAAAAAAATCCAAGTCTCAAACTTCCCAAACACCATGTAAACCATTTGTTACAACTCATAACACGCAGTGGTAGTTTCTTTCTCTTCATCAAAAAAAATCCAAGTCTCAAACTTCCCAAACACCATGTAAACCATTTGTTACAACTCATAACACGCAGTGGTAGTTTCTCTCTCTTCCAGCACTAGTGCATATAATATGTGCATGTGTTTATATATATCGTCTCTTTTTGTTCAAGGCAAATTTTATTAGTAATATATATATATATATATATATTTATTTTTTTGTCAACATTTTAGGTAGTTAGATTTGTTAGTTTGTTAGTAAATGTGTACTACTTACAAGGTTGCTCCATCAACTTGAACCCCTGACATTTGAACATTTCCTCAATGCACCTTAAGGTGCAACTACACACCAACTTGTCACAAGGGCCTTGGCAATTAGTTAGTTATATATATAAAAAAAATGATATTATTATGTATTTAACACAAATCTATATTTTACTTTGTTTATCATGACAGTTTTACACCATCTAGATTAATTCGGGTACATTTAACTTTACTAGAAGAGATATTAGCATAATTTGCTAAAATTGTAACACTTATATTTTGGACTACTTACCAGTCCTATTAAATAGATTTATTTATGTATAGATTCTGACTGATAAATTTATCACTACAAATTTATTTATAAAAATAAGAGAAACTAACAAATTTATCACTTGATAAATTTATTAATATGATTTAATGGGTAATAAGACCCAAAAGTAAAACTTATTGATAATTTACCATATTTTCTCTAAACTTCAAAAGAGTTTACTAGCATTTCCCTTTTTCATTTTTGTCCAATTCCCTTTTAATTGAAAATTTAACACAAAGTAATAAATTTTAACCTATTAAGTTTTTAACTTAATTGATTTTCATTGCATACATTAAATTTTAAATATTGAATGGAATTATTAATCTTAGTTATAAATTTTATTAATGAAGAAGCACTACAAAAAGGGTGACATGAAAAAATTTCTTACATATTCGAGTAAGGAAAAATATATTCTATACTTGTACCTGACCTACCGATATAATAATAAAACAAATAATATTGCAATTTTAATTTTATCCACCCATATATGTCTAGATGAATGTAGTATGTATACAGTGTATTATTATTGAGTTTTTATTATACTATATATAAATATATAACTTCTTATTTATTATAGATATTGCTTCTTAATTTTTGGAAATTCTATTTCCACACACCAATTTATTTTTGTGTACATTTTTTTCTCAATTCACACATTAAGTAATTTGATTTTTGGGTGATTCTACTTACACCACTCTTTTACCTCCTTACACCCTCCATCTCATTACACCACTTAAAAAAAAATTGAATTCTCATTACACCTAATATAGTACCAAAACAAACCCTATGATAAAAAACTCTTCAAAACCCATCTCTTTACACCCATACCTTTGGAGGGAAAAGAGAACAACGCAGGGCAGAAGAGTAGACAACACCGGCGTGGAGGCGTTCGGACGGCGTGGACAATTGAACTCACTCTTCTCATTTGCCAAAGGTAAGTGAGAAAACTCTTCTTTCTCTCTCTATATTGATAGACATAGATATGTGTATCTATCTATATATCTATATCATCTATGTCATCATTTTTTGCGAATAGACAAAGAATAGCACATTCCCAACATAGCTTTGGTGGTTTAGATCTTGGAATTTAATTGGGTTTGTGATTTTTGGTGCTAGTTTTGAATGTTGAAGTTCAGATTTTGGTTCTATGTTTTATCAGATTTTTGGTCCTCTGTTTTGCCCACTGTCTCTTTCTTTTTCTTTTTTTTTGTTTTGTTGAGAGTGATAGTTAAGTGGAAAGGGTTAGGGTTCTATGGGTAAAGAGCTGCCATAGAAGGTTATCAATAGCTGTGGAAAAAAATTGAATTTCTGGGTTAGAGTTTTGTGGGTTAGTCAAGTGAGCACCATTTCTAGGTTAGTCCAGTGAGCACCATCTCTACAAAACATTCCATCATCACATTAAAAATGAATCATGTATAATAAAAATGTTACATTAACTAAGTTCAAGATTACCATTTTTTTTTAATACTTCTCTTAATTTATGTTCAAAATTATAATCAGAATCTCTCATAGATGTCTCCTTGTTTCATAGATTTGGGTTACCCCAAACTTTTTAGTAAGTAACTTATATAAGATAATGAGCTGAGTTTTTGAAGTGGGAATGTTCTAGTGACAAGCTAAGCCAATGCCTAGTACCAGTTTTTCTTCTTCAGGACGATCTCACACTAAAGCTAGCCTAATTGACAACCCTATAGTATGTACAATGCACCAATCTCAGCCACATTGCACTTCCCTATAGCACCACTCCAAACCATACACCAATAGTGGAATCCTTGAACATCTATCCACCTATTACCACAAGCTGACCATCATGACTCCCACAAATCAATAATTAGTTCACCAACTCATCAACACTACCATCAAACTCACTAGTCACCGCTGCCATTATTAATCCATTCTAAATCATATTAATCCACCTTCCAACCATATTCTCATCCCCCACTAACACAACCACCAAGGTTGCCACACCCTGTTTTTTTTTACTTTTTTCCTAGTTTACTTTCTAATTTCTCTTCCTAAACTTCTTTGTATTCTTGAAACACATTCTCTCTCGACTCTTCACCTTTCTTCTCTATTTCTTCTGCTAAATATCTTCACTTTCTCTACAATATCTTTCTAATGTCAAACCTCTTTAAACCTCTATACTTTTACCAAACTGGAATATCACTTGGCTCCTACAAAATCACCAGAATATTCACCAACACCTATTTGTGAACGTCAATTTGTTCTGCCGATACAGAGGAGGCTTCTTCAGAATTATCAAATCATTCATGGTGATAATTCTTTTTTATTTTTTTGATAAATATTTTCATGGTGATAATTCTGAATCAAGCAATACCTCGAAGCTGTTGAACCTGATGCTTCACCAGAAGGCCCAGAGCACTTATGGTGGTGGTGGCAGCTTCGATTGGCAGAGGAAGTTAAGGGAGGATTTGACAGAGGGTCTTGCTCAATGAAGTCACTGACCAAAAAAGTATATTTTTTTACTCTACGGAGTTGCAAGGACCCTTGTAAAAACAAGAGATTTTTTTTTTTTGAGAGTGATAGTTAAGTGGAAAGGGTTAGGGTTCTGTGGGTAAAGAGCTGCCATAGAAGGTTATCAATAGTTGTGGAAAAAAATTGAATTTCTGGGTTAGAGTTTTGTGGGTTAGTCAAGTGAGCACCATTTCTAGGTTAGTCCAGTGAGCACCATCTCTACAAAACATTCCATCATCACATTAAAAATGAATCATGTATAATAAAAATGTTACATTAACTAAGTTCAAGATTACCATTTTTTTTTAATACTTCTCTTAATTTATGTTCAAAATTATAATCAGAATCTCTCATAGATGTCTCCTTGTTTCATAGATTTGGGTTACCCCAAACTTTTTAGTAAGTAACTTATATAAGATAATGAGCTGAGTTTTGGAAGTGGGAATGTTCTAGTGACAAGCTAAGCCAATGCCTAGTACCAATTTTTCTTCTTCAGGACGATCTCACACTAAAGCTAGCCTAATTGACAACCCTATAGTATGTACAATGCACCAATCTCAGCCACATTGCACTTCCCTACAGCACCACTCCAAACCATACACCAATAGTGGAATCCTTGAACATCTATCCACCTATTACCACAGGCTGACCATCATGACTCCTACAAATCAATAATTAGTTCACCAACTAATCAACACTACCATCAAACTCACTAGTCACCGCTGCCATTATTAATCCATTCTAAATCATATTAATCCACCTTCCAACCATATTCTCATCCCCCACTAACACAACCACCAAGGTTGCCACACCCTGTTTTTTTTTTTACTTTTTTCCTAGTTTACTTTCTAATTTCTCTTCCTAAACTTCTTTGTATTCTTGAAACACATTCTCTCTCGACTCTCCACCTTCCTTCTCTATTTCTTCTGCTAAATATCTTCACTTTCTCTACAATATCTTTCTAAAGTCAAACCTCTTTAAACCTCTATACTTTTACCAAACTGGAATATCACTGGAATATCACTTGGCTCCTTCAAAATCACCAGAATATTCACCAACACCTATTTGTGAACGTCAATTTGTTCTGCCGATACAGAGGAGGCTTTTTCAGAATTATCAAATCATTCATGGTGATAATTCTTTTTTATTTTTTTGATAAATATTTTCATGGTGATAATTCTGAATCAAGCAATACCTCGAAGCTACTGAACCTAATGCTTCACCAGAAGGCCCAGAACACTTATGATGGTGGTGGCAGCTTCGATTGGCAGAGGAAGTTAAGGGAGGATTTGACAGAGGGTCTTGCTCAATGAAGTCACTGACCAAAAAAGTATATATTTTTACTCTACAGAGTTGCAAGGACCCTTGTAAAAACAAGAGAATCATTCTTGATTAGCTAGTATATGCGAAGGCACCATCACGACATACTATTTATCTAGTTATTGATGTTTTCATTTCAGTAAGCAACATATAAATGCTCGTAGTGTGCCTGTACAGCAGTGGCCATCTGAATGTGTACGAGGATACCGTGAGTGGTATGCTCGTGTTTCGCATCGGGTTGTTCAAAATTCTACACATCACTCTCAGTTTGATCCACGTGTTCAACGTCCCGAGAATGATCTTACTATGGATCCTGAGTGGGTAAGCAAATTGTGAATTAACTTTTTTCACTTTTAAGTGGTTCATCATAAATCAAACACTAAGTACAATTTTTATCAATTTTTTTGCAGTGTAATGATGCTGCTTTCAATGTTGGTGCTGCAGTCCATAGGCTCGGTCGTGATGAGTGTGTCTTGTACCCTGACATGCTGTATGAAACCATTGGTCGTATGCTGCAAGTTCTTGATGGACAAAGTTTGGGATCTACTTCGACACGTACAGAGCATCAAGTCTACTATCGTAAACATCGTAGGATGGACCGTACATGAGGATTGAGATCTACTTTTTGTTTGATGACATAATTTTGCATAATGTCTAGCTCGTATACATTTTGGGATATAGTTTTGTGCTAACCGTACATGATATTTGGGATGCAGTTTTTTTTTTTTTATGGCATAGTTTTTGTGAAAGCCTAGCTCGTACAAAATTTGGGATCTAGTTTTTTTTTATGACATAGTTTTTGTGAATGCCTAGGCTGTACAGAATTTGGGATATACTTTTCCCTAATGGCATAGTTTTTGTAGATCTTTTGTAAACTGGATGCTTGGTTGGACAAGTAATGAATTGTCATACTTTTGTAAGAATTTTAAACAGTTTCACATCTATTTTGTATTCAATATTTATGTCAATGGAAACTTATTTTGGTGAACATATGGATTTGTTATTGTTCGTAATGCATTGTAATGGTATTAAAGTGTTTTGGAGGGATATGGTACCATTTGCTGGAAGTAACATTGTTTTTTTTAGTGTCATGGGCCAGTTCAGCGTCATACTGCTAAACAACTTGAATTATTCTAGTGTTCAGTTGCCGAAAACAATAGATCCCTCCAGCATTTAGTTGCTATATATTTCCAGAGCCACTTTATCCAAAATAATGTTTTTTTTATTTGTGCTGGGGCTGTTCGGTAATAAGATGCTAGTGAATTTTAATTAATCCATTATTGTGTTACCAGACAAAATAGTTTTTTCTAGCATTATGTTGCCATACAATTGGAAATTTTCAATTTGCTTCATAACAAAGACAGTGGAGCCTACTGTGAAGTGTCTGTTCAGTCACACAATAATAGACAAATTACATTTGTCCGGTGTTATGTTGCTGGAAAAAATATATTTGTCTAGCGTTCTGTTGCTATACATTTACAGAGCCACTTTGTTAAAAATAATAATTTGGGGCTGTTCAGTAATAGAATGCTAGACTTATATTTTTTTTCGGCACTATGATGTCGGACTATGTTATTTTGTTTAATTTCGAAATACCGAACAAAAGTCGCACACCAACCCAAAAAATCGAAACAAAAACCTACCAAACTAATAAAAAAAACTCACCATTTCACTTTTTTGATGGTTTTTCACTACCGTTTCTTCATCCATTGCTTTTTTTGATGATCAAAACATTATGATTATCAGTTTTTCAAAAGAGATGTGTAAGAAAAAAGAAAAGTTGAGAAAGGAAAAAGAGAAGTTGGAATTGAAAGGTCAGGGGGTGTAAGGAGATAATCAAATACATTTAATTTTAGTGTTTTGTCCCTTTAAGTAATTTTACATATGGATAAAATTGGAAGAAAAAAACAATCTTATAGGAAGGGTGTACGGAGATAAAAGAGTGGTGTAAGTAGAATTACCCTTGATTTTTACTTCTTTATCTCAGTCCACATACTTGACATTCCAAATATACCCTCATCTTTTCTGTGTACATCCTCTCCTTTTATCTTTTCTCATTCCAAAAACCTTAACCCTAAAGAGTGCCATGACTTGCCAACGCACCTGTAACATGCAAGTGTTTGGACTGGTAGTCTTGCAAAGAGCTCCATCACGATTTTCATAGGCAAACTCATAGAGGCTGATATCCATCCAAGCTTGAAATATTTCTGCATTTCTTATAAGAAGAAAGAGAGAGAACATGCCAGGATAAGATTCTACTTTTTCCGTGTAATACATGACATTATAGTACTGTATTTTTCTTATTTAAATCTATTACCTATCTATCTATTTATATTTATATCCATACCTTAAAACTAAATTACTTGAATTTCTAATTTCTAACAATAAATAAATACCACACAATTTATATATATATATATCACTAAGCAGACCTTACCTTCGTTATCTCGAACTTTATGTACTAAGCATACATTATCTCTAACGTTCCACAATTAGTATTGAGAAGTCTACAAATTTTGCACATAAATTGAATACTTTGAGTCAATATTATTGAGGCAAAGGATTAGGTTTTCCAGTATAATCCGATTGCTCTAGCCAATTAATAGAGAAAGAAAAAGACATAGAGAGATTCGATAAGGAAATGCTGTGTATGGTTGAGATTTGGGCATGGGAGGTGATGGCCGGCGGTGGAGTGACTGGTGAGATGGTGGTGGGTGATATGGTAATTTTGTTAAAAAATAAAATTGTGATTCTAAAAAAATTCATGAAATGCGTGGAATAAGAAAACTTGGTGGGTGGAAATAGAATTTCCCTAATTTTTTAGTTTCAATATTATTGTAGAATTTTTAATTTTGTGTAGCAAATTGGGTAGGGTTAGAGTGGGGATTACATTTGCGAGTTTAGGGTCGAGGGCAGAGAAGGGTTTTTGCAGAGCAGGAGCTAGCTTGGGATAGAGGGCCCAACCCATACCTTACAAGTTGCCATTCTTAATGTTGTGTGTGGTTGGAGGATTTGAGGAAGAATTTGGAAAGAGAAATGAAAAAGATAGGTGAAATGTGAATAAAATATATGTACATTTTACCTAATTTCATACATCTTTTTCCTTTTTTTTTTCCTTTCCAAATCTTTCTCTAAATCGCCCAACTAAACACAACGTAAAGAGGCAGCCAAAAAGAAAAGGCTACACAATTCTCTAGAAAAAGAATGAGTTAGACAACAAGGAAGAACAAAAACCCTATGGCCATGAGGGAGTAGGCCGAAGAGTACAAACACACAAATAAAACAAACAAGCAATCCCAAACCAAACAGAAACATTCTCATTATTTAGGCATATAATAAAGAATTCAAGAAACTATACAACGAACAAAGAGCCATAAGCCCCAAACTCCTACTCGTTATTTTATTATAGAGCTTTTAAGGCACGACTTCTTTGGCTTAATTGAAAGATGTGCTGTTTTTTTTGCCACTCACATGCTTTAGATTTTGAATTTTCCTTTGTTATTGGCACTAGTAAAAGCCAGATACAAAAAACAATCTCACATCAAAAAAAACTACATATAAATTAAATGAAATCAAATAAACAAGTGAAAACGATACACCTTTTGAAAACACATTGTTGGAATTTACCAACCGTCATCCGGAAGGTAGTCACAGATGGCCAAAAGGTCGCTAGAAGTCACCGTCAACTCGTGAGGAAAGAAAATAGAGTAAAACTATTTTGAAAACAACTGAAACCCTTTTTTTTCTTTTTTTAAATTTTAATTTTTAAAAATCAATTTCACTTTTTAAAAAATGAAAACAGTAAATTAAATATGTTTTTGTTTTTAATTTAAAAAAGAAAAAACAAGAATAGAAGGAAATAGAAAAGAACTACTAAAGTAGATAGTATAGCTTGATTTAACTATAAAATAACGTTACAATTACCATTATTTTTTATATCATATTTTGTTTATTATTTTATGTAAAACATTCACGGTTATTAATATAATGGGAACAAAAATAATTGGCCCATATGGAAGAAGAGAATAAAGAATCCAAGTTCATCCAAATGTGCCAACTTTGCTTAAAAACAGCTTGATTAAAGCAACATATCCCTAAAACTCAAACCATCCAAAGAGGTTTAGGTGAACTAAAAATGGGACTAAATGGAGCATAAGAAAACTTTTAGGACTAAATGGTTCAACGTTTCAAAAACTAGGACTTATGAGTAAATTTTCCTAGAAGGGAAATAGAAAAGAACTACTAAAGTAGATAGTATAGCTTGATTTAACTACAAAATAACGTTACAATTACCATTATTTTTTATATCATATTTTGTTTATTATTTTATGTAAAACATTCACGGTTATTAATATAATGGGAACAAAAATAATTGGCCCATATGGAAGAAGAGAATAAAGAATCCAAGTTCATCCAAATGTGCCAACTTTGCTTAAAAACAGCTTGATTAAAGCAACATATCCCTAAAACTCAAACCATCCAAAGAGGTTTAGGTGAACATACAGTGGCAAATACTGTGTACCAAAGCAAAAACTGGGGGCTTTTCCCAAATTAAGCCAAATTAGCAACTTAATTCCTAAACTAGGCCTAGTTTGGACGAAATTCCCAAACTAGGCTAAAACGTGGTTGTGAACCACGCTTTCAATGTTTTTGTGGCTATCGCATGGAAATTTTGTGAAATCGTAAAAGCGTGTTTCCAAACTACGCTTTTAATTAAGAAAGCGTGATTTGTAACCACGCTTTTAATTAAATTTTTATCTTCTGAAAGCGTGGTTGTGAACCACGCTTTTAACTGAAAATTATTTTTTTCTGAAAACGTGGCTGTAAACCACGCTTTTACTATTCACCATAGAAAGCGTGGATGATAACCACGCTTTTAACCAAAATCTGTTTTAAAAACTTATATAAAAACTCCCCCAGCCCTGTCATTTGCCAAACCCGTTTTCTTTAAAACGGCTTTTCCAATGTCGTTTTTGATGAATAAAAAAATATAAAAATTTTATTTCGTAAAAAACAATTTTTTAGTAATTTTTTCCCCAATTTATATTATCCAACATAAATATAAATTGCCACAAAATAATGTAATTCAGAAAACGGGTTTAGTAAAACCGTTTTCTAATACAGCTTTCCTAAAGCCGTTTTTATGTAAATTTATTATTTTTTTTTTTCTGTTGTCTTTGTTCTGGTGTAATTCAGAAAACGGGTTTTCTAAAACCGTTTTCAAATACGGCTTTCCTAAAGCTGTTTTAATGTAAAAAAAAAAATTAATGTAATTCAGAAAACGGGTTTACTAAAACCGTTTTCTAATACGGCTTTCCTAAAGCCGTTTTCATGTAATTTTTTTTTTCTGTTGTCTTTGTTTTGGTGATAATGTAATTCAGAATTTTTTTTTGACTTTACTAAAGCCGTTCTCATGTTAATTTTTTTTTTCTTTTGTCTTTGTTTTGGGTTAGAAGGTGTAATTCAAAAAAAAAATGGCTTTATTAAAGCTGTTTTCATGTAAAATTTTTTTGTTTTTTGTTTTGTCTTTGTTTTGGGTTAGAAGGTGATAATGTAATTCAAAAAAATTTTTTGGCTTTACTAAAGTCGTTTTCAGGTAATTTTTTCTTTTTTCCTTCTTGTCTTTGTTTTAGGTTAGAAGGTGTAATTCATAAATTTTTTCATTTAATTTTTTTTTCTTTTGTCTTTATTTTGGGTTAGAAGGTGATAATGTAATTCAAAAAACTGGTTTAGTAAAACCGTTTTCATTAATTTTTTTTTTCTTTTTCTTTCGTCTTTGTTTTAGGTTAGAAGGTGATATACATGCTCTACAGTCCGAAGCACACCCACACACTCTGCAGTTCGACGAACAACGACGAAGGGTGAAACGCGAAGAGCACCGTTGAGGAGGCCAAGAAGACGAAGGCCACCACGAGAGCTGCAGTAAGAAGGAAGAAGAGAAAAACCTCAAATTTTGATGATGTATTTTTTACATACGA